GAGTGGCAGCAGTTTTATTTCCCCAGACTGACACTCACAGCATTTTTCTGTCCTGCTGTTTTTAATTTCCACTTTATTCTTCTATATTAATACCAATCTGGGGCAGCTGATCACACACTGCTGTCACACATTTCCCTGGAGAATTCGTCTTCTCCTGGTGGCAGCAGTGCAAAGGCAGAGCAGTTTCAGAGGTGTGACTAACCCAGGCCTAGAGCAACCGGACCACTCAGGTGGAGCTTTACACCAACGTGCAAACCACCACCGAGTGTGCCAGAGCCCTGCTGAGCCAGGCACCTCTGAGTAACAGCAGGGCAAAAAAGGCACATGCATTATTAAATGGCATTTTTGTTCTGTGTGCTGGAAATATAAACTGACCTTTATGAGGGCTTGAATATGAAACGTGGGCACGGGAGGCTCGCTCTGGTCCCACCATCAATCAGCCTCTCCTTCGGTATTCCTGTGCGTCCTTTTTCTGCACGGAAGGTTAGGAAGTCAAAAGAGCTTTTTAAATGTTTCATATTGTCCTTTTTTCCCTGTTTAGAGAGCTGTTCAGCCAGAGCAGTTTGAGGCTGAGGCAGTGACTCAGGCAAGCGCTGTACCAGCTCTCTCTGTGGCAGCTGGGAAGAAATCAAAGGATCACAGAATCCTTTAGGTTGGAAAAGCCCTCCAAGACCATGGGGTCCAACCATCCCCAGCACTGCCAAGGCCACCACTGACCCCTGTCCCCAAGTGCCACCTCTACACTGCTTTTAAACCCCTCCAGGGATGGGCACTCCACCACTGCCATGGGCAGCTGTGCCAGGGCTGGACAGCCCTTTCCATGAAGGAATTTCTCCCAGTATTTAATCTAAACCTGCCCTGGCCCAGCCTGAGGCCGTTCCCTCTCCTCCTGTCCCTGTTCCCTGGGAGCACAGCCCGACCCCCCCGGCTGTCCCCTCCTGTCAGGAGCTGTGCAGAGCCACAAGGGCCCCCCTGAGCCTCCTTTTCTCCAGGCTCAGCCCCTTCCCAGCTCCCTCAGCCTCTCCTGGGGCTCCAGCCCCTTCCCAGCCCCGTTCCCAGCCCCGTTCCCTGCCCCGTTCCCACGCTCCAGCCACACAATGCCTTTCCAGACTGGATGGAGTGGTTCTCCATGGGCTCCCATCTATCCTGGCCCCAGATTCCCCACAGCTCCCCTTGCCCAGCCGCCTGCTGCTCCCAGAAAGCTGGGATTTGTTTACTATGCACCAATTTATTTCATTTTCAATTTAAAATATAAAAAGTACGTGGGTTACAGCAACATAATTTGCAGCGTGCTGATTAATAATACAGCTGACAGAACAAAATTGGGCTGTGAGCTCGAAGTGCTGAGGGAAGCTAAAATTTAGTGAGCAGTGTGTGGATGTGGGGTAGGCAGCCTGCAGCTGGCAGAGGAGGCTGCCGAGGCCAGAAACACTGTTTGCTTTTTTAGCTGCCTCACACACAAATCCTGGCTCTTACATCCCCTTCCCCCTACCCTGCCGTAGGATTTCCGTGCTCGGAGATGGTCAACACTCTACTGGAGAAGCCTGTGAGGAAACTGATACGAGGAGAGCAATTCCTGAGGATTCCCCATCCACGCAGAGAGAAGGAGCCCACTCAGTGTTGATTGTTGATGTGTTTTTTCCCCAAGGGCACTGAGATGCTGCCCAGCAGACAGGCTTTAGCACCTCGGGAAATGCGGCCGGTTTTACATCAGTACTTCATCTTACGGTATTTGTTATGAAAAAAAAAAAAAAAAAAAAAAAAAAAAAAAAAAAAGAGTTTTTTTTTCGGCGGCTCGAGTGGGGGGGA